GTATGTAATGAGGGCGTTACAGCAAATCCACTCATATCCCTCAACTTGGAAGTATATACTTCGCTTTATGGAACGACGTGGTCATACTGAGTCCATCGATATGTGGCAATATCCGAAGATGGTCAATAGATATTGGGATAGTAATGGGGTTGGTATGCGTTTTATGTAATGGCGTTATTACTGTGGATAAATATGGATACGGGCTGTAACAGGATTATGACATCACTCTACTTCTCCTGCCAGGGTCGCCAATTCTGATGATAAATGATAGAAGGGATGTTAGTGTAGATACACTTTATTCTATTCCTTTATATCATACAATCGTATCGTTTACATACAAAGCACACGCTTATATACACGAGTAGAATAAGAGAGGATGAAAAGAAAGGAGATGAGGCCAAGGAAAGAACAGATGTGAAAGATCAATAGGGTAAAGACAGCAATTTAAGAATAAAAAGGTGAGGACAATGTATATAAAATACGAATGAATGATGTTACAATATGAGAAGCACATTACGATAGAAAGAGAATGAAGTTCAATCATGCATAGATGAGCGTAAGAGTAACGCGATTATGCAAACTATGTAATATCGCTTGTATAACAATATATAGAGAAAGGAAAGATATCACATACAATGATATGCCCATTGGCACACTTTTATTTTTTCCTACAAAGTCTAGAAATACTGTCGAAAAAAAAATACAATATAGTATGTTTTCTTTTTAATATTTCCTTCAATATCTACTGTTTGTAAGAACTGCAAATTGCACTTGAAGGATAAAATATTTAGTTAAACATCTGTGTAATGACTTTTTGAAGATAATTTTTGCATCACATATATCATCATAAAATCACTTTTAAAAACAGCCGACTCCTTCAAATATCTATTTCTCTAGGGTAATTTTAAACAAAAAAGAACAATGACAAATAGAATCATGACATAGAAAACTGAACTGGTCAGACAATACAATATCACAGATAGATTTCTTTTTGAAAAAAAAGGTTAAATAATTCAAAAAAAAACTAAATATCATCAGCATCAAGATTTGTTTTCAACGATGACATTAATGATGTTCTTTTTAATGTTGCTAATGGTGGTAATGGAGGCATATCTCTTGGATTAATATACATATTAAATTTTTTTGATGGAACATCTTTAAGATAATTGTTAGCAGTTGTTTTTGATAATGATGTTGACTCAAAACTTCGAAATTTATTTTGATTATTATTTGTATTTAATAATGTTGCAAATGTATCAGACTCAATAGCTGTATGTGGGCTTGATGAAGAATTTGATGTTGATCCTTGAAAATAATCTTGATCATCTCTTGAATGAAATTTTTCTTTATGTCGATGACTATGACAACATGATGCATATATACAAAGTATTAATAAACAACCAAATAAAAATGACATTAAACTAATTAGAATCATATGAAGAAAAGTAAAACGATATTCATTTAAGAATTGTAATAATGATGGACATAAACATGAACTTTCTTCATAGGTTAAACCTTCACATGAATTTGTAAGACATATACGAGTACGAAATTTAATTGAATGGGATTGAGGTGATGTGCATGATGAACATTCAGACCAATCTGTCCAACAAGACCAATTGCTTTTTAATTGTGTAAAACAAGAGAAACATTCGCGTTCTTCAATATCTTTACCAAAACATTGACTGCCTAAACAAGTACGACGACGAGTTTGTGTCGAACCAGTAGTATCGCAAGATGGAGAACATTCTTTCAAATAGAAAAAATTAGTATTATAATTTCTTTTATTTAAAATACTGACCACTCCAATTAGACCATGATGACCAATTATCAAATGAATCTAAACAAAAGAAAATTATTAAGAAATTTTAATTTAAGACATTACGTGAAAAAATGCAAAATCTACTATCTGACTATTCAACAGTGATGATCGGATTTTGTGAGTTCAGAACTTCTACAACTTTCAAAAGTGTAGTTTTTTTTTACCCACGAAACTGTAAGAATTTATGGAGTATAGGAATCCTCGAAAAAGTGTGAGTTTTGATTCTCTTTACACTCATAGCCACAGCCATATAGGAATATTTACGGACAAGATAATACTGTATGTTCGTCACCTCTCGTGGCATTTCTAGCATTCCAAGTTTCTGGATATGAGACACCACTACAGTTATTTAAAATTTGTCGGTAAGCAGAGTGTTATGATGTAAATTTCATTTGAAACGCTATTATCTATTACCTTAATTTCAACAAATTCTTGAGTTCCGTAAGTTCAGAACTCACGAAATTCGGATACGTCTAAGGTTTTAACAAAAACATTTATGCTCTTATGCATTTTTCAATGTTGAAAATGAAGATATCAAATTAAGAAAATATTCAAAAAATATTTTATGGCACTCCTCAATAATTCATTATTTTTATAGTAGACCTTATACTCTCACGTTAATTATCAGCAATTCTATTTAAGTATCTTCAAGATAAGAATTATTTATTAAACAAAAACAAAATTTAAATGAGACGATTTAAATACATTGTCTACGAGTACTTTTACATTCGATATATTCTAAGAATCTTGCAAATATCATAAGAAATCTTATTAAAACAATTCTATATCATAACAATCGCACTATAGACTTCAGTTTTCTTGGTCACTTGAATTCCAATTTCTCATAAAAGACTTAAAAGTTTCTTGTTCAATCATATTGCATAAATAAAACTTACCTATTTGTTGACAATCATGTCCTTTATTGTTACATATTCTATAAATCACTTTATCTGAGTTTATTTCTAATTGTTGTTGATCAGATGACGAAGATAGTGTACAAACAAAACGAGTACGTATTTCTGTTATCATATCATCACTATTCGATCGATCTTTTGGTGTAATACGTGTCCAATTACTCCATATTGTCACTGGGTGAACTATTAAAAAAATATTCAATAAATAATTTAAATCTCCTTTTTTTTTCTATAGCATACGTAGACAAGGTAATTCATTACATAAACGTATTTCATCTAAACATTCATTACATTTTTCACCATTACTTAAACACGTTCGTCTTCGCTTTTGTATTCCACCACCACATGATTTTGAACAGACATCCCATTCTATATTAAAGAAATATCGATTATATTAAATAATAGAACATGTCAGTGTAGTTCTTTGAGACCAAAATATGAAACTCATATGTATTCTTTAGCATTATTATACTAAACCGTTCAATACAATAGAATCTTTCAAAGCTTCTAAAATGTCAAAACATTAAAAAAAATTGGAAGAACTTCTATTACGTTGAAAGCTACTAATACGACTTAGATGTGGGTGATACCCAAAAGTGAAACATGCTGAACGATCGTTGGCCTTCTCCTTTCCCAGCTGCAAAATCTTTATTTTAATTGATATTGTCTATTTCGTTTGAAACTATAGATGTGTTTCACAAAAAAAAAGTGATATTTACCGCTCCAATCACTTAATCTTGAAGTTTCACTTGAACAAATTATTTCCGGACATGGTTCTTCTTCACGTTCTAATCCAATACATAGTCTACCATTATTTTTTGGCGTAGGATTTGTACAAGTTCGTGTTCTTGATCGAAATGTTTTACCACATGTTTCTGGACATGTACTCCAAGTACTCCATGGAGACCAATCACCATGAACTATGCAAAAATAAAATAAAATATTTAGAAAAAAAAAAACTAAGCTAATAATTTTATCTTTCTTTTACCTTCACATTGACTTATTTCAATATGATTTCCTTGACAAGATTTTCCATCAAATTGAGGTTTTGGTTGTGTACATGATCTTGTACGACATTGACATTTTTCGCCTGTTTCTTGTTGACACATAAACCATGATGACCAAGGTGTCCAACCGCCGTCAACTATAAACAAATTTATTTTATTAAATATAAAAACAGATAATTTACTATACTACATACTTGTTATATTAAGAATTGGACATATTAATAATTGACGAGAAATTTTCCATGATGAAATTCTAGAAAAAGTACATCGTTGATAATAATTATCCCATGTACAATATGGATCCATAGAAGCAGTACATAGATGACTTGTATTAAATCGACTACAACGTGCAACTGATATTTTTAATACGGATATAGATGTTGTTATTATTATTTCTTTCTAAAATTACGAAAGAAAAAAAATACTTGTAATTATTTTTAAGGAAAATCGAAAGATGTTTTTTTCTTTTTTACTGTTTTTGAAATAAATTCTGCTTTATTCACTTTCCAATCATTTGATGAGATCATTGATGGTTTTAATTCAATTTGTTCAATTAAACATAATTTTTTATCATTTTCATTAGTTATTAAGGAATATTTTCTTAACCATAAACCATCCAAAGTAATAACAAAGACAACAGTTACATCATAAAAATGATCAACTAATAAATGACCAATACGAATATCATCCAATATAAGAGCATCAAATGATGATTTTAGAACACCTGATCGAAGTACACGTCCTGATGGAGTCGATGGTATTTCATATGATGAATTTGATTCACACTAAAAATTATTCTTGAAAATAAATTTTCTTGCTTTAGACTTTTTAATCACACTTAATCCATGAAAGTAGAACTTTTGAAGGTAGAAAACAAAATACTGAAGAATTTACTCATTACATTGTAACTAATACTTTTGGAAATAAGTTATGTCAGATTGCCTGGAAAAATCATATGCAAATAAGCTCTTCTATCTTTCACTTACTATAGTGTTCAATTACGAACCATATTAGTTTGTCATTACCTCATGTGAGACGGCTAAAATTGAATATTTAAGCATAATGTATTTAGGAATGTAACAGTAAGAGTAATGGTGAAGTTGGTGAGCACATGAAAAATGTACGGTGATGATCGTTGTATGAGCACCGCTAGGTTTTCATAGCATAAAGCTATTGGAATAATAGGAAAAACTGATCATTTTAGTATGTTTTTGGTGCATTCACCGGTTCGACCAGTCTTAACACAGTAATGCCTAAAAGTGCGCTCATATTGTTATTCAAAGGCAGTGGAACTAGAATAATCTCTACAACTTTTATAAGATTCTTCTTGACATTTGAGAATAGGAAAGATGAGCAAGGGATTTTGAGGTATGTTTTAATGCTATTCATATACAACACAGTTAGCACTTCTTACTTTTAACGCGCATTTTGCACTGTCTAAAGCTGACGTCAGCTGAGAAGTAATCCGAAGCTTATGTCAAAAAATGTGAATTTAAAACAACATATCACCATTTGTTTTTATTTTACTTTGACACTTGAAAAAAAAACTTTTCGTTATGCTTTACTGAAAAACAGAATAATAGTGAAGCAGTAGTGTTCAGAAAAAAAAGTAGATATTACGTTGTAGATTAACTTTCTGAATTGACAATATTTCTTAGATATGTAAAGCTTAGCCACTAAAAGCAAAGGATATTATCAGCAGCTTATGGTTTGTTTAACTCAAGTTTGCTGTACAATTCTTTTTCAATTGGAGCGAAGGAATATTATTTTTAATCATTAGTAATATAAAACCCAGCATTGAGTCATACAAAATTCAATGTTTTCTCAAAATATGTTTAACTACGAAAATCTTATTGTTTGCTACCGAAGTCGGTGAAATATTTTGGGTTTGTACAAAAGTCGCAATGAAATGAGAAACAAATATTGGAGTCTACCAAAGCCTTGTAGTCTCGCTACATATGTTCCTAATTTAAAACAATAATTTACTTTTTCCATATCTTGTTCTATTGGAGATGATGTCCAATATGATTCATTTGACTTTTGTGTAAGAAATGAAGATTTAAAAATACTTTCAAGTTGATCAACTGTATAAATACAGATAGCTGATCCAGTTAAACCACTTCTATAGAAAAAAAAAATGTAAAATCTTTTCTAGAAAAAATGAAAAACAATTAAATTTCTTTTACTTAGGTAAATTAAATGCTCCATAAATTAAATTTAATGAAGAATAAAAATAAATTGATTGTAATTCATTAAAATCAAATGAAGTTATTTCATTTATTAATTTTTTTGAACATGATAAACGTAATTTTGAATATGAACGAAATGTATCACTAAATTTCATTGTACCATCATCATATTTACATATACGTGCAACACGAGAATAAACATTCTAGTTAAGAAAACAGAAAAAACAAAATAAATTTTCTAAAAGTTTTATTCTTACCATTCCACATGATAGATGTTCAAGAGATATTTCACGAAAAAATATATACACATATTGACCAATATTTAATATTCGAACAAAATATGGATCTAATAAAATAAAAAAAAAAACATTTCAAGGAAAAAAATAACAAACAAAATGATTTTTATTCTCAATTGACTTTTTAACCAATTTGAATCATGTTGTTGTGTTCGTAATTGTTTTGTTTGACTAAAACTTCTTTGTATTAAAGGATCATTAATACCAAATACTGGTTCACTTATTGTTGCCGAATACAATTCTCCTTCAATGATATACATTAATTAAATTATTTACTTATTTTCAATATAAATACCAGTATCAATAAGATCATATACAGATGAATGTTGACTATTATATGGAGATTTTCCATTTCCAGAAATAAACTTTTCATTATTTGAAATAATTGTTGAAAGTGAATCTAAACGACGCCAAATACAAGTTGGATGATATGCATTCGTTCCACAAGTAAGTAATGATTGATCATGAGATCGAAGAGCTAATACACGAATATAATTTTCACATTCATTCTAGATTTACAAAAATTATATATAAAATTTGAAAAAAAAAAGAAAACTTTCAAATATACATACAAATGACTGAGTTTGATGATGACATATAGTTTTTTCATTTGTTGATGATTCCCATTTATATCTTTCTAATAAATGAAAGTCACCCAATGATAAACGAATTATTGTATTTCTAAATTTTTAAATTTTTATTTTATTATTAGTTTAACTAATGAAAGAATCTTCTCAATTTGAAAATAGCTGTCGAGTTCAAATTCTATACATGAGGTAGATCTCAATTAGCCTATATTATGGTATATACAAAAGAAACGAATGAGAGTATTTTGATCCGAAGTTTTGTCTATAGATAGGTCTACTTGTAACTAAGCTGTTATTGTTGTTTTGAAATGAAACTTTCAGGATATCTAACGCTTCAACTTCCTATGGTAGATATTGTTACCTTTATCCTTTTGTTGGGTTTTTAATACCTTCTGGAAATTTATCTTTTAGATAGACTTCGAACTAAATCATGATTTTCAAACAGAAAAGAATGTTCTCTCATAAGCTCTTGTCTTTTTACGAATCACTTCTTTTCAACACTATTTAGTTGATAAGACAATAATGATAAAACAAATTAATATCTTTACTTTGCTCCAATAATAATCTGATCTCTTTGTTGATCGATTGTTATTGCATCGAACGCATGATCATCATTTTGATAGATTTTTCCATTTTGTAATAATTCTAAAATGAAATATAGTGTCAAATTTCCTTCGAAAATAATTTGTTAAGATTCTAATTAAATCAAAAACGTTTCGGTCTAGTCATTTATTCATAATCTAATAATGACGTTGACAAATGAACAGTCTCTTTATTAAGTCGTACAACAAATAGTATCTTGTTTTATTCATTGTTAAAATAATGAGTAAATTAAGACTGAAGTTCGATGAAAACTTATCATTCCAAAAAAGAAAACAATGATTTCATTTGAAAAAAATAAATTCATACTTGGTTAAAATTCTAGTTGTAAAATGAAATAACATTGATAGGTCATTTATTTTTATATAAACAATGGTTAAGAAAAGGTGTTATTTCTCATATATACATACCATTATATGAAACAAAACGAAAATCGAAGGAATTATTAGCGATCATTGAATGGATATTAAATAGGAGAAGATAAAAAATAACCATTAATTTACTCTTCATTGTATTTTGATTTGCTTCTGTTCCAATCTAAAATACAACACATATGTCTTAACAATTACGAGATGGATACGATTGAGTATCAAGAAAAAAGAAAGAGAGATGAGAAGTTTTTTTTTCTTTCTTTCCTTCTCTCCTCTCTCTCTCTCTCTCTCTCTCTGTCCTTCTTTCTTGTTACGTTCTGTTATTCAAGACGATAGAAGAATATTTAAGTCAATATTTTTTTCTTTTTCCTTCAATACGGAAATACAAGGCGAAGCATTCCTTCAATAATTCTAACGAATAAATATGATAACAAGAATATCCTATTGATTAAACAGTAAAATTCTTTCGTCAATCACTATTTTAGAAAAAGATTGATACTTATATAAAAGAATTAATGAATTGATTCTGAACATCTTATTTAATTTTAATGTTTATTATTACACTACCTATATCGATGGTAAACAAAACGATTTTTTTTAAATATTCTGTCATACGATAATATCATAAAACAAGCATTAAAATTGCTCATAGTGTCCAACTGTTTACACGATAATCAAACTTATTAATTCAAACAGATCTTGTAATGGATTCCATCTGTTCATATTTCTGAATATATACTGACTAAATTTCATTAACAGAATACGCAAACGTTTTTCATATGTAGCAAAGAAATATTCTTAGGTAATTATTATAAACGCATTTGCTGGTTCATCAATTGATAGATCCTGCACATCTGCATCGACCATTTTGCTTTTTGTATATATAATTACGCCAAACAAACGACGATTGTCAATGTCTATTATTGATTGAAAGAGGCGCTTAAAGAACAGAGACACTTGTTACATCATATCATCATCGTCATCATCATATTTGTCCGTAGAAGATTTGATGGACGTATTGTCACTTGGTCACACCTCATACTTCAATCATCGAATATGTCATCAAAATGAATATATACACATATATACATGTAATAGAATAAAGAGAGAATAACTTTATTTTTTTTTTCATAGATTCCTTATTATGTCAATGAATAGAAATATACATATATATATATATATATTACGTAAGTCAAAGTACTTAAGATTTATATGATTGACAGGAGAAGACAAGGAAAAGCCGATGATTCGAGTAATATCATTATACAGAGGAATGAAAATACAATAAAAGAATATCATTGCTCAAGGACGTACACATTAAATCAATGAAAGATATTGAAGAATACATGTCTCTCTGATGACTTTTAGTTCATTTTAACGATTTATTTTGTTTGTTCAAAATGAAAATTCTTCAGAATATATTGTATGGTCAACTTAAGTTGATTATAAGCTCTTGTTAGAATAATATACACATATACAGTTTGGATCTTTTAAATTAAAGGCATAGAAAACAGACAGATGTCTACAAAAAAAAGAGATCAAAGAGAACAAAAAGAAAATTAAAATTGAGATTTCTGGCATGCGAATTCATCACTTTTGATTTATAATTTACTAGTAACAACAACAAATCATTCATTTATGTCTAACTTCTTCGTATATCTGGTCTGTTTCTGTGTTCCGTTCAATATATAAGTGAAGAGAGATAAAAAGCAATATCATCATTTGACATTTTCTCCAGTATTTTTTTTTCTTGTATATAATGAATAGAAAGAAAAAAAAAGGCTATTGTTAATCAAGCAGTGTTGGACGATAGATGGAATTCAACGCTCAACTTAAATTGACATTTCCAATATTGGAGAACACGCGTCGTGTCAATTGCTTGTTTGCATGTATATGCTATGATGAGCTTTTCTCCAAAGACTTCTTTTTCTTTTTTTGTTTTGTTTTTAATTAAATATCAACTAGCAGATTGACATGTCAATGATAATTATAAGGCGGAAACAATCTATTGATTTTGAAGAATCATATTTTCGAAATTGGGAACAAACAAACGAGAAAAAAGTGTATCTTATGTGTTTCTTCATTTACTTTATTTTAAAATGATAGAAAACATGTGCAGTCACTCAACTATGACATTGATAATAAAGTCTTTTTGTCTATTTTTTTTTGACATTGCTTGATGTGAAAAAGTACATATATCGATTTATGACGATATCGAATTGTATGCTTATCATTGTATTGAAGTCAAACGAGCCGTATAAATGATATGTACACACATACATACATACATCAACATTCAAAATGTAAAGAATCGAATTAAAGAAAATAAAAGCTTAACACCTATGTTGATCTTCTTGTTTAACGCTAAACAAAGCGAATGTTTCTATTGTTTGCAATTTTCTTGATTCGTAAAAAGAAAAGAAAACAACGTGTATCGTCAAAAGACAAATGGATAAGTGACAGGTTATTAAACGAAAGATGATAAACGAGTTAGATTAATGGTTAGTTTATTTTTTTGGACAGATTTACAATGGTAATTTGATATTATAGTTTTCATAAGAGGTCATATTTTAAAAACTTCAACTACATTTATAGAAAAAAAAGGAAAATTTAAATGATCAAATAATTTACATATTGTTTGGATATTTATGACGCTAGTCAATCGCATGTATTGTTATTTGTATTAGAAGCTATGAAAATATATCAGTATTTATTATCAAGATTTGATTTTATTCAATAACAATAATCGACTGTATTCAAAATGATTAAAAATTCAATTGGATTTTATTTGAAAAAAAGTTGTAAACGTATTCTATTCAAAGAATAACAATAATGACTTGTTCTAGTTATTGGATCGGCATGCTTTTTGAAGGCATTCTTCAATAAAAAAAACATAATACTGTTTGATTGTCAAGTTTAGACAACGAATATTATGATTTATCAAATCAATAGATGATAGTTCTTATTGAACAGATATATTTGTTTCTTAACAAATGAGAAAAAATTATCATATTTTAATAATAAACTTATGCATTTTTTTACTTAAGAATAAAATTTATAGATGAGAATTTTATTTGATTTATATTGAGACTTTAATACTTGTTAGAAAAACAATCCTTTTCATGTTTCAATCAGTCTTTATAAAGAAGGATATTACAGATTAAATAGATCAAAAAATATAGTAATTAGGCATGAATGGGATCTGCCTTTTTAGTTCCAATTCCGGTACTCAACTCGAAAGGAAATTGTTCTAAGTGATAAAACATTTTTGAGTTCCGACTCTGCGCATAGATTAGATAGGTGAGTTATGAAAAACGTCAAAATGATAAATGTCCTTGTGGTTTTTATTCGAATATTAGCCTATGGCATGTTATATATAGCAAACAGTAGAATATCAATATTTTATTTTGTAATTCATTCAACTTGTAAAAATTTCAATTCCAAAAAATATTACCTTGAAGAGATAATACAGTTCTACAAAAGTATTAGATTCTCGCATGTTTCATGGAATATGAATGATAGTTTTTGGAACTATAATATTTCATTAAAATAATACTCTGTTCAGTTGAAATTTTCAGAGGATTTTATTGACAAGTATGTTTATCTTTGGGTAAAATTTCCGACCGAAATCATGTTATTCTACTTTTTGGTATATGCCGTATCATGAGCTAAAACTTGAGTGAAAGAAAGACACAAGGATATTTATTTTTTTGACTTTTTTTCATATCTCATTGATGTTTATTTTATGCATAGAATCCTTACTTGAGAAGTGAAACTATTTTACTTGTGAGTTGAAGCTTTGTTACAAGAGTGGTTGAAGTTATTTTCTATAGTCATCTATTAGTTTGATATATCTTGCTGTTATAATGCCATCCATTTAATTGCGATAATTTTCCTGATTCGATACCAATTAGACATGAACAAGATAAGTTATGTGATTTTCAGTGCTAATCAAAAACTTCTTTTGTTGTGGTTATTTTATTCGTGTCTAATGGTAATACACATCTAGAATTTATCGACATTGATAGTCTTTCTTTTGTAAACTATTAACAATTTAGACTAAATGGTAAAATTGGTTCTATCTATAATATGAATTTTATTTTTCATAAATAATTGTAATGTGTAATAACTGCCAGTTTGATTATTCGTAAGCATGATAACCAATTCCTTTTGTCTAAGTAAACCTAATAAGTATTACATTTCTTTTCAAAGCAGATCAAATGAACACTCCAACAATTCAATGACGTCATCGTAATTGGCATCAGTGATTCACGATTATTTGATAGTTTTCCATGACTTCTGATGATACTGACTGCTATTTTTAAAGAATACGAATGAATCTATAAAAATAAGTAATAGTCATTCGTTTTTTTATATTATAAAATAGGTTTTATAAACTTTATTTACTATTTTTCATGTCATAGAAATACTACGACAGTATTTTGAAAGTTCATATAACTCAATAGTGTTTTTCGGTGTAAATCATTGAGTTTCATTGTATAGTACGTGAAGTTTTACAATTATAATGCTAAGATATGTAGAGTGCAGTTTCTTTCGAAGTACGGTTATTTATGACTATACTCATTCAACGCAGATATTTGAAAATTTTGAAAAAACAGTCATCTGACAACGCACTGTTTTCACGAAAAGTACAATAGCAGGATTAACCTTTTAGCTATCCCATAGATCCATAATCATTATTGTTTCAATTAGTTTATGTCAAATTTCACATATGTAACATTGCTTGCGCTTTTTTCCGATCATTTCGAACTCTTGAACACGATACAATCGATCAAACGGAAACTTTTAACACAAATAAAGCACCAAAAATAACGAAGTATTTCTTCGAGAAAAAAATCTTTGAAGTAAGTTTTGGCAGGTTTTTCAGTGGGGAACTCTGATTACTTACGACTATGTCTCAGAAGTAGTTTTAAGGCTTTTCAAAAGTCTAATTTTCTTTTTCTTACGAGAGAAATACGTAAATGTTCGGTATCACTATCAGAGTCTTAGCTTTCAGGATCCTTGCAGATCCGAGTAGGAAGGTCAGAAACGGCTGATTTTATCTGTGGAGAGTACTTCCAAATA